TTACACCCATAGTTGGTGTATATTTCTGTGTTCACTGTGTAAATTGGGCTAATGGTTAATATCTGTTTCTTTGCTTGATGATTTTGCTTGGGTGGTTCAGTCTTTTTTGAGATATTTGTGAGTGTGGGCATTTTGTTTTTCTTTTTACTCTTACTAAGGTTATTGCGCTGTATTGCATTCTTTAACTGGTAGGTTTTACTTTCACGATATGAGTTTCCATAGTGGTAATCGATTTTTGTGTATCATAACATGTTTGATACTTTATTTATTTTCTTTCTTTACTTTTTGATTCTCTTTCTTTCTAGATCAGTGTTTTTACGTGAAAACAAACCCCTTGTCTTTCTCATAATGATGATGATGATGCGCCGTGTGATGTGTGTGTTGGCCGTTGTGCTGTGCTGCCCCTGCGGGTATACCATAACGGCGGCTGCTTCTACTGCTGGACAACTAAAGGCGGTGATGGCGCTTGACGGCATTCCTGGTGGTGACGGTGCCTTCGAAGAATACGATCCTGATATTTTTCGAAACACTCATCGTGGAGGCAGTGGCTCTTCTTCTGAATCCCGTTCTCTGCCTGCTACCGGAATTCATCCTAGTAACTCACAAGAGCAGGACATTCATAGTAGACCAGGTGTGTCGGAACAAAGAGACGAAAGACAAGAAGTACCAGTTCCAGCACCACTCCCAGGACCACTCGAAGCACCAGTCAAAGGACCAGCACAACCACCTTCTGAGGGACCACATGTTGATCAGAACGTTGTGAAACATGGAGAAAAGCAACCACAAATCACTTCTTCGCCTGTTCAAGCGGATGGCACCCAACATGTTAGTGCTGCTGTCAGTTCATCGGTTATTTCTGCCCCTCAAGCGGAGAGGAGTACCTCTACTAATGGAGGTGGTGATAGTGCTGAAGAACACACCGAAACTCAGCAGTCTAATCCACCTAAAGAAGGTAACCCAGGATCATCAAATAACACAGGGGATAACAGTGTACCTGGCGATAATAATACTACTCAACAACCATCTTCTGAAGGTACGACTGCCGCTGACTCTCAAGAAACAAATACCACTACTCCGCCAAGCACTGAGAACACTACCACAGAAGCACCAACCACCACTCCATCTCCTGTACCCAACGCAGAGATCAGCAGCATTACTTCCACCATGAAGAACAATAAGGCTAATGTTGACAGCAGTATCAGTCCTGTGTGGGCACGTGTGCCACTAATGATTGTGGTCGTGTTGTTCTCTGCTACTGTGTACTGAACGTTGGGACTCACTTGAGGACAAATAATAATAATAATAATGGTTACACTAACATTATCATATTTGCGTATATCCCCATGGGTGAATAAATTAATAATATGTTTAACAGCTTTCTCTTTTAATTCGAATTTCTTTTCTTTTACTTTTATTTGTGTGTGTTCTTTTTTCTAATAATTCCATTACTTGCTTTTCTCGTTGTGTGTTTGCAGAAAACTGGGCTGTTCTGCTCACTGACGGTATACATCTCTTGCTAGTACACACAGATGTGTGTTTGTACTGTAATTTAATACATAAACTAGAGCCACGGGGTATTGTGTGTGTGTGGTCGGCTCTCTTTCTCTTATTTGGTTATTGTGTGTTGTTTTCGTTTCTACTAAGGGGGTACATATTATAAATACAAGGGGACTATTCCTTTTACTTTTGCTTTACTGTGCTTTTACTGCTTCTCTCTCTATTTCACTGTGAGTATTTGTTGTATTGGAGTTTGTTTCTATTTTAATTATTTATTTCCTTCTGTTCCTCTTTCTTCCTTGTAGTCGTCTACTGAAATAATCAGCAACAATGATAAAGGCTGTAATGGTGAGGTGTTACCTGCTTTGTTTACTAACTCTTGCACTATGTTGTGCTTGTGGGTTAGTATGGGCTGATAGTCCTAAAACTTCTGATGCCTTTATTAAACCTTCTACTGTTGGTGTTCCTTCTCTTGTTCGTCGTGCTATTCCTGCGCTTCTTCTCGATATTTATTGTGATGAAGAAACAGTAAAAGGATAATGGGGAGAGGACGAGGAGGAGAAGAAGGGTCATAAAAGTCATGGTACTCCAAATTCTTCGAGTGGCAATACATCCACTGATACAGGCGGATTAGTTGGTGGGTCTGGTTCCAAGCAACCGGGGGATATTTCTCTAGAAGACATGGAAGGGAAACTCCCAGAAGGTGGACCTGGTAGACTGGATGAGACCCGAATGAGACAGAATGCGGATCAAACCCAAAGAGCAGAAATCAGTGGATCACCTGAAAACTCAAGGGTTACAGGAGAAAGAGATTCCACTTCTTCAGTCTCATCTCTTTCTGCACAACAGTCAGTAACAGGTTCGCTTGGAACAGATGGACCCAGTGGACAGAAGCCAAGCCTGTCTGAACCTTCATCGAATAAAGGCGAGCATGGACCTCAACAAGAAAATCAAACGCCAGGAGAAAAAGAGGAGGGCAAGGACACACAAGATGCACAAAGCCGAGAGAATACAGTCACAACAGGACCGGGTACTAATGATGGAGACAGCAGTAATAATGCACAGTCTGAAGGAGGTAATGACAGAGACGTTTTTCCTCTGAATGGTTCTACAACTGAAGGAATTGAATCACCAAACTACCAAGAAGGTGCTGCAGATAATACAGAACCCACCACCACCACAACAACAACACTTCCTCCTGAGACTGAAAACAAGAAGAAGGGTGATGCAGACAGCAGCAGCAGTATCAGCAGTTATGTGTGGGTGCGTGTACCACTACTGATTGTGGTTACTCTGGCCTGTATTCTTGTGTGCTGATTGTAATGGTGTTATGGTGTGGTTCAGGTCATCCTTTGTTTTCTTTTCTTTTTTTGCATACATTCCTACAGTCTAACTAATCTTCCACCTGTTGGGATTATCTTCTTTTTTTGTTTCTTAGTGTTAATGTGTTTTGTGTCTGTTTTTGCTCTCTTTGTGTTTATCCTATTATTATTATTATTGCTACTCCATTGTGTGTGTTCTTGGAGACTCTCTTTGTGTGTGTGCATCTGGACTTGCACTATGATGATAATGATGAACTGTTTTTTTTGCAGTGAAAGGAAGAAGGAAATAATACTAATAACTGATGAATTTATATTTATAATTGCGTATATACATACACATATATACTTACACCCATAGTTGGTGTATTTCTGTGTTTACTTGGTAAATTGGGCTAATGTTTAATATTTGGTTGTTTCCTTGCTTGATGATTTTGCTGAGTGGTTCAGCCTTTCTTTGCGATATTTGTGAGTGTGGGCTTCTTTTTTTGTTTTTACTCTTACTGAGATTATTGTGCTGTATTGCATTCTTTAACTGGTAGGTTTTACTTTCACGATGTGAGTTTCCATAGTGGTAATCGTTTTTTGTGTCCTAACATGTTTGATAATTCAGTTATTTTCTTTTTTAATTCTTTGATTGTCTTTCTTTCTAGATCAGTGTTTTTACGTGAAACAAACCCCTTGTCTCTCTCATGATGATGATGATGCGCCGTGTGATGTGTGTGTTGGCCGTTGTGCTGTGCTGTGCCTGCGGGTATACCATGGCGGCGGCTGCTGCTGTTGATAATGACAGTCCCAGTGGCCGTGGTGTATCCCGTGGGGCTGTGGAGGTGTCGTGCGGGGCCGGCGGTGCGCTGCGTGTACGCCCCGCTGCTGAGAGCGAGTGGCTTACATGCGGTGCGGGCAGCCGTGTGTCTGCATGTGGGAAGTACGCAGACCTCTGCCGCCAGCGTACCACAAGAACAGCAACAACCACAACAACTATTGCAACTACTACTATTACTGCTGGACAACCGAAGGCGGTGATGGCGGTTCATGGTGGTATAACGGAATGGGATTATTTTCTTAGAACAGCAATCTATGATAAGGAGTGTCCCGGTAAACCAAAAGGAGAAAAAAGTAATGGAATGGACTGTGGTGACTGGAATGAGTATAAGAAGAGTGAAGGAGTGGCGGCTCGTCCTCCTGATTCGAGAATGGCAAAACCACTTGAACAAAAGCCGAGTGCCTCTCATGAACGTGCGGGAGAACTGGATCAAGAACAATTGGAAAGTCCTCTTGAAGAAGGTTCTCCACGTGCGACCACATTACAAATCACGTCAGCGGACCCCGATACTGAACATCAACCAGCGAAGAGCAAACCAGCAGTAACACAACCCAATAAACCTGAGAGTGGTGAAGCAGAAGCTGGAATGAATGCAGAAAGTACGTCGAGAACAGAAAGAGGAACAAGTTCTTCTACAGAAGGTAATCAAGGAAAAACGAGCAACCCAACTGATAACAGTGCAACCAGTGCTGGTAATCCTAACCAGCAAGTATCTCCTGCAACTGTTAATGCTACTGCCCCATCAGAGTCACAAGAAACCAATTCCACTACTCCGCCGAGCCCTGAGAACACTATCACAGAAGCACCAACCACCACTCCATCTCCTGTTCCTGTTCCCAATTCAGATATCAACACCATCGCTTCCACTGTGAAGAACAGACCCAATGTTGACAGCAGTCTCGCTTCTGTGTGGATGCGTACTGCAGCACCGCTACTGATTGTGGCTGTATTCTTCTCCTTTACCGTGTACTGAACGGTGGGTCTCATCTGAGGACAAATAATAATAATGGTTAAACTAACATAATCATAATTGCGTACATCCCCATGGGCGAATAAACTAATAATCTGTTTTCCAGCATTCTCTTTCAATTCGAATATCTTTTCTTTGACTTTTATTTTCTTTCGTGTGTGTGTGTTCTTTTTCTAATAATTCCATTACTTGCTTTTCCTGTTGTGTGTTTGCAGAAAACTGGGCTGTTCTGCTCACTGACGGTATACATCTCTTGCTAGTACACACAGATGTGTGTGTGCAGTAATTTATTACATAAACTAGAGCCATGGGGTATTGTGTGTGTGTTTGGCTCTCTCTCTTATTTGGGTATTGCGGGGTCTTTTCTATTAAGGGGTATATATTATCATACAAGCTGAATATTCCTTTTTGTTGGTTTACTGTGCTGTTGCTGCTTCTCTCTCTCTCTTTTCCAATGTGAGTATATGTGCCCTGCATCCACTCTCTATGTGTTTCTCTTTCTCTCTCTTCCTTCTTCTTTTACTTTTTCACACTCCCTGTGTAGACCTGTGAACTCAACTGACGATAACAACAGGAAGAGTGACGCTAATGAGAACGAGGATGATAGACCTGTGTTAACTAATCCCACTGCTGCTGGTGGTTGTTGTTGTCTGTGTATGAAGTTATTGCAAGATATGCATAACGCCCCGTCTTGTTCTTCTTCTTCTATTCTAATATCTACTGTTGTGGAGCCACATAACTTGCGTGTAGTGGAGGATTACACTCCTCTCTCTTTTTGGGTGGTTTCATGACAACTTCTGCAGAGACCATCTTGAACAGTGCCCATAATGTGCGACCAGGTGATATTATGTGTGTTGGGTGTCCTCCACCAACAATGACTCGTCATTTGACTGTTCATTCTGTTTCTCCGGTTGATGTTGATGCTGCTGCTGCTTCTTCTTCCGGTTCTTCTAGTACTGCTGGCATGCAGTTTGTAAAGGAGACAGATCTCACCGAGGAGGAGAAGCTGTACGGTAAGCGTCTCTCTCGTGATATGCTGCGGGAGTTGTTTGAAGTGGGCCGTGTGGATGGTGCCACAAACTCGCTGGAGGCCATCTTTATTGATGGCACACGGCAGAAGTTGAAGGTGTTCGCTGTGCGGCCGGCCGGTGTTTGTGGAGAAGAGGAACTATTTCGCCAATGGAAGAAGGATGCGAGTACACGTCCGGTGCGAACTGTGTACGCGGGAAAGGAGGGACGTGCCTCAATGCCAACAGCACCTGTTGCATCTCCATCTGTATATGAATGGTAGTAACAGTGACCATAACCATATGAATGGTGATATGGGGGATGATGATAATAATGCTATTAATAATAATAATAATAAAAAGAAAGCAATGGTGTTTTTTCTTTTGTGTTTTGTGTGTTCTGTTAAAGATTGTTGATGTGTTGACTCTACTCGCCTTGTTTGTTTGTGTTTTTTCCTTATAATTGCTGTAACTCGATAATCTATAATCCACATTGTTGACTGTTCCAAAACTTTCTGTCACAATCTTTTCCACATGTAGATATTTACATTATTATAAAATTCAACCATGAGCACGGAATCTGAATTGCAGGCCAAATATAATGCCGCTGTCGAGCGTTACCAAGCCGATGTACAAGCCGAGACAGCTGCTAAGAAGGAAAAAGTTGAGAAATGGACTGTAGAAAGAAAAACACAGGATGGCACCAAAGAGTATTATCTCACTTGGGCAGAAATAAACAAGGCAGAGATAGCTTTCACTGAAAAGGTTGAACAAAGGTATACAGCTGCGTATACGATACATTCGTTGTATGCAGATTGCATGAAATACAGGTACGGAGCTGACTCCAAGGAAGCACAAGTAGCCCAGCATCGTGCAGAGTTGGCTCACACAAGGGAGTTTATTTACAGTGATAGCTCTCCATATTGGATAAAATGGTACAAGTTGGATTGCAAAGCTTGGTGGGTGTATTATGAGTTTAGGGCAGAAGGTTATGACAAAGTTGCAGCTGAGCTCAAAAGGGCAAGGGAAGCGTTTTGGGATCATATAAAAGGAGAATCCAATGGTAAAGCCTTTCGCAATGCTCGGAATGCAGCCGTGGAAGCGTTGAAGAAATGGGAAAGATGGAATGATCGTGTTGCCTGGGATGAGGCCAAACAGGTGTACGACTCCGCACTAGCCAAGTGGAATGAGTTCATACCCAAAGGTGAACAATACGCGGAGAAGTTGGAGGAAACAATTACTTCACGCATCAAGAGTTTGGCGCCGATATCGGAATTGTTGTGTGGTCACATTGGTAAAAGTATTTGCTGAGTTGCAGGAAGAAGCCAAACAAGATCCGCACTCTGCTAAAGGTTTAGAATTGCTAAAGAAGTATGATGCTGCAGCCAATATTTACCAAGCCGCTGTACAGGCTGAGGCAGCTGCTAAGACGGAAAGGGATGAGAAAGAGGCTTGGGTAGGGAAAACACAGTGGGACACCAAAGAGTATTATCTCGCTAAGGCAGAGTGGTTGAAGGCAGAGATAG